ACACGTAACATAACCAATTAACCATAGCGAAGGCTTAGGCTTAAAACATAATGAAATTTAAAAAAAAATAATAAAAAATTACAAGAGGCCTATGGATAGGCCCATTGGCCTATTGGCCACCCCATCAGCTAGATTAATATTTGACAAAAATAGAAATCAACAAAATCTCAATTATGAAAATCAAATTAAACAATTTTATGGATGTAGCTCCTTTTGTTTCCTATAATTTTTCTTCCGTTGATGTAACTACAAAATATATGCGCAACCAAGAGTATAAAAAATTCTATTTGTCGTGTCAAGGAAAAAAAAGTTTGGAAAATAAGAGTTCGTTCCATGTATCTTGAAGCCCAGGCAAACACCAGTGTATACAATCTGCATAGCTACTGGGGTTGGCTATTTGTTCCGATGTCAAAGGGTTCCACTGTTTCTTGTAGATTGATGTGTGAGCATCTTTTCGGTAAAGTGAGAGTTGCGTGATGTTCAAAAATGTTATCGGAAACTTTGATTCTCTAAAAACATCTCCAATTATTTTCATTATGTTTTTCTTGCAATCTGATCCCCAGTAGTTTGGATCTGCAATCATTTTTGTCTGATTGTAACATCTTCTATTTGGACTGCCTCCCCATTCAATGCTCCTACACATAAAACCACAAAAACAAGTACTAAGAAAGTAAATTTTTACACCAATTTTCTCCAAAAATTAAAAATATATTAGATCCTTTATATTTCAAAAAAGCCTATATGTTTATTTTGGAAAAGAGAAATAACTAACTTTTGATGAGTTGGAGACATTCCGGTGAAAAAGACTCTTGTTTTGTTAGGATCCATATTCTCCTTTACCCATCTCATCATACTTTTCATCATCATTCTATAAGCATCCTCTGTTGACACTTCTACTATCTGTTTCACTTCATCATTAAATGATCCATGCCTGTATTTTCATCTTGTTATATTAGACGTCAAAAGAAAAAATTAGTTTGAAATCTAAGAGAAAGATGAAGAAATAAGAAGTTACAAAATTTTGAAATCGGCATCTGTCATCCACCATAGGTAAGTATTGAAAACTATTATATCAACCCCTTTCCAATGTTTTCCATGCTTGTTTATAGAACCTTTTCTTACAATTCTATCAGAAATACGATGTATGACAGCATCATCAGCATTTGACTCAAGTAAAAAAGGAGCCCAATAGAATTCAATTGTCGCGTTGTAATCCTACAATATACAACAAATTAATAATCATCATTAGCCAATAATGCAATTTAGTGACTTACTTAACTTGTAATTAATATATTATTTGCTTTTATTAATACTCGATTTGAGTGATTGTTATTGGTGATCAAGTCTACAACTAGTATTAATAAGAAGGCTAGCTTGTGTATAATGAAATTAAATGATGTAATTGGTTTTATCTTAAACCTTTACCTTGGCAGTGAAAACAGTCAGAGAACCGAAAGTTTCCATGGATTTAGCATTATCAGGGATGAGTGAATGTAGAAGACACACCATTGATACATATTGGCCTCTGTTTAAGGAATCTCCAACGAACATCATTCTCTTGTTTCTTAATGTTTCCAGCATTAGTGATGCATTGAAGCTGTCATTAATTATCGACATAAGCAAAGATCAATTCACGTTTTTTGTCATTCAAGTTAACATTTGTGCTAAAAGATATTTACCATGCATGTCGATGAAATGATATGAAATATCTCGCTGTGTGCTATATACAAACATATTACAACTGATATATAATTTCAAAAATGTTGTCATCAAAAGTACACGTAAGAATCATACTTTAGAGTTCAGATTAGTATTTATGAAAGAGATGCAAATAAATGAGTTTCTGATTACTTTAAAAATCCATGTTTGTAATTGGTTTTGTGGTTGCTTAAACTTGTGTGTGTGACACACCTAGAATATATATGGATTTTTATGAAGTTGGAGATTATTTATTGATACTAAGCTTTGTAGGTTATAGTAAACCTCAAGTTTTTAAATTGGAAGTGTTACGTTATATTTGCATAAGTCACACAATTATGTTCCTAGTAACTATGTTGAATAGTAGATTGAAAGAGAGAGGTGGGGTGGGGTGGGGGGGGGGGGGGG